TTCCATGGTCATGTAATTGCGAATTTTGTACGCAATTCCAGGTTCGTTGTTTTTGAACCTGATGTATGTAACGCTTCCATCCTCCTCGGGGAAGTAAGCTGCTAACATCTGACCAAGTTTTCTCGGTGACTCGGAGCTCATAAAAATGTCACTTTTTAAACGTTAAGTTTTTAGTCTTATTTTACCCTTTGTTTACCCTTTGTTTGTCAAGGTAGTATTGGAGTGCAATTTCTCCAAATTCTCTGTGTCGGAGTTCTTCAGCATTTTCCAAGGTGTACCTGGAGAACTCAAAGAAGTTGTCAAGAACATACTGCCATGCTGCTCTTCTGAGTTCGTCGGTATTTTGGAAGTGTTGCACCTTCGAGTCTTCGGACATGAAAAAATGACACTTTTTCTATTAAACCGTTTTGGCATTTCTCATGAGTGAGTATAGTTCTGCCCGAACCATTGGAAGAGAAGAAGTACCCTTGCTGGCAAAAAGACAAAAATAGTTGCCTTAGTTGTCATTGCAATTGTACTCGTAATTGAATTCATTGTACTTCTCTTCACGTACATAAAACTCAGCAATGGTATTTGCTTTAAGAAGCTACCATCTTACTAAGACTAAACACTTACATTTTTCAAGGTTGACTTTTTACAATTTGAATTTTGTTGCTGAATTCAGCAAAAATATAATTTATGTTAGAATGTTAGATCTAACATGTTTTCTAACACGTTTTCTAACATGGTCTAAAACTCTTGAATTTTCATGAATTTTACACCAAAAATATAATTTATGTTAGAATGTTAGATCTAACATGTTTTCTAACACGTTTTCTAACATGGTCTAAAACTCTCGAAAATCATGAATTTTCCCGAAATAAAAAATAAAGTTGGTTTTTTTAAAAAAATATTTTTTATTTTTATTGTAAGAACATGTTAGCAACAACAGCACCAAACTCGTTAGTCATGAACCCAACTTCAATGTTAGTAGAGATGAAAAGCTTCATTCCTTCTTCATATACTTTCGAAACAAAAATCCAGAAGATAAAGCAAGAACTTTTAACAAGTAATTTAGACTGTAGTGCGAAAGATGAAACAAATGAACAGTATCTTTATGAAATGCAGGATATTATTGACCATTTACCTAAACTTCCTGAAATCCAACAACAAAAACTCACTATTCCAGAATTCGATGAAATAGAAGTCGGACTGACTGACTCAGTAGAAATAAAGAAGTTCATACGAAAGGTTAACTATGAGTTTCTTGGATTTCATTGCAACCACAAAGTCATGGACAAAGACTGCGACATGGTATATAAGAACATCTCTGACATATACAAATCCGAAGAATTTAAGACCTACGACAACTTTGTTTCATTAGTTGCAAAATGTGTTTGGGAAATAAGAGATAAAGATAGTAGGGGTAAGGTATGGAACGAACAAATAAAACCCGCTATGTTCGAGATGAAGAAAACCATTGACGCCTTAGTTGTTTTAGCAGGTAAGGTTTCAGAATATAACGCAAAAATGAACCCACAATGTTCTAAATGTAAAGCAGCAATGAGGAAATATAACTACTCCGTCAAAGAGATAGAACGTATGCGAAACGACTATGCAGATTTAAAGAAAGAAGCAGAGAAACCAGCAGAAGATAAAATGGACATGTTGACATTTCTAAACAAAAACTATCCAACAGCTGACGATTTCCTTCTATCTGACGTCAAGAAGAAGTATAAAGAAACTTTCGGTATCGTTAAAACATTCGATGTACTAAAAGAAGAAATTGAAGCCACGAAATTGTTTAGAGTCATGAACCATCGCAACATATACCATGTAAAACGCTTGTAAATAGTTATGTTAGAAAACATGTTAGAAAACATGTTAGATCTAACATTCTAACATAAACATTATTTTTGCTGACTTTTTACAATTTGAACTTTGTTTGCGTAGATATGAATTCTGAAAGAAGTATGAGGGTCTTGTATGACTTTGTACTTCTCCCATAGTTCATGTCTGTCAAACTTACCTGCCATGGACTCTTTCATAAGTTCCATGAAATCGTCTTCGGACAATCCAGGGAAAAGTATAATGTCAGTAAGTATTCTTTTAACATCCTTACTTAAACTCTTTGCTGTCTGTACACAAATGACAACTGAGATGTTAAAGTGTCTGAGCTTCTTAAGAATTCGACACATGTCTTGTTCTCTATTCTTTAACAAAGGATGAGAAGCAAAGTCATCTAAGATAAGAAGACACCTATGAGGGTACGTTTTCCAATCGTACGATTGCAATTTCTTCGAAATGTATTCTATCTCTTTCTGTTTGTTTCTGAAGTGTTTCTTCTCTAATATTCTCTGCATTTCCTCATTTGGGTCTTTAAACTTAGAATTTATATACTCATTTATAGCATTATACTTCAAAACTCTTCTTTGGTACTTCTTTATCCAATCTAACAACTCAGTATCCTTTATACATACTAACTTAGACTTCTTTATAATATCTTTGAACGAATTGACGGTTTGGTCAAATTGACCAGAAGTACTACAAATAACAACTCATAGAATGGGTTCTTCTCATCTAGTTCTTGTTGTTGTGCAGCCATTTTAAGATAAGTGAAAGTCTTACCCGACCCAGGTGGTGCGATTAGACCTGTTATACCATTCTGAGCAAATAAGAACTTGTCATGTATGGCTTTATCTGAGCATTTTCCAACTTCCTCTTGTTCTTATTTAAAACATTCTCAAATTTTTGTCAATGTCAGCAAACTTTTTTTCTAACATATTTTTAGAAAAATTAAAATTTTTATCTTTTTGAAAATGTCTAGCGATTTCGCTATCTATATTCGAGACAAACTTTTCGACAGCAAAACATCTGTCGACCATAAAATCTTACATAGTGTAAACAAGAAAGGTGAATTTGTTCTAAAGTTCTGTTTCTGGGAATATGACAAGAACCATAAAACATTACAAAGAGCAGTCTTAAAATTTGTCAATGACAGACTTGTTGACAGAGATGACGCCGATTGGAAAGATGAAGTCCAACAAAAGTTCTTAGAATGCAAAGAAGACACATGCGCTGTTCTTGAAGATGAAATAGGAAACAGAATAGAAGAGCTATTAAAGGACAAAGAACTTTTACATAAATATGGTTGCGCCAAATTTGACATAACTCCACCAGAGAAGAAGAAGAAGAAGAGAGAAAAGAAAGAAAAGAAAGTAGAAGAAGAGAAAAAAGAACCTGAACCAGTTCCAGAGAAAAAGAAATTTGACATGTAAAAATAAAATTTTATTTTTAGAACATTTCTGGGTCAATGTCAATGTTCTCTTCCTCTTTAGGAGCAAACACTGGCTTAGACTCTAAAATCTTTTTACCCAATTTACCTTGAACTTCAACTATCTTAGACTCATAATATTCATAGTCGTCTGCTTTCTTTGGTTCATAAGGTATAACAAGTTTGTATGCTTTGCCTTCTTTAAGGTTTGAGAACCTTCTGTCAAAATTTTCTTTGACTGCTAACAAACCTTCTATGTCTAAGTCTTCAAATTTCGCACCATTTTTAGTCACAATAGCAAACTTAACTGGTTCGATGTTCCAAACTTTGCTGAATGAAGACTTTTCAAAATGGTAGAAGTAAACATTCAAATATGCGAATGGAGCTAACTTATCTTTGACTTCTGTCATGTACTTATTTACTGAGATGAATTTTGCCATCTTTTCTATCGGATAAAAAAAGATTTTTTTTAAAATTTACTCATAAAAATTTTTCTTTGTATATACGCCGTTCTGTATGTCTAAAAGACTTTTGACATTTGCCAAGAATGTTCGTTTAGACGCTGTCATATAACCATACTCTTGACAATATTGTTTATACGAGTCGTACAATGACCTTTCATCTAAACACTCAAAGTTAGTCTCATCTATAAACAGTTCATAAACACTCTTGTTTGCTTCTAACAACGTTTGTCTCTCTTCGGTATGTGGAATTTGTCTTGGATTGAACTTTGAAATATCTAATGTCATAAAATATGAGAACAAGTGGTTGTAAAAGTCAGATGTCAAAGTTTCTGACAAAGCGTCAAAATATTCTGTATCTTGCATATGAGAATCTGACGTTCTGACAACTACATATCTTCTGTCAGAACTTTCTAACTTCATCGGAACAACATTGTTTGAAACCATGACGAAGTTTGCAACATTTTCACAAACTCTTTGGTCTTTATATTTTCTTTCAACAACTCCAACTTTGTCTGTTATAAGACTCTTCAAAGCATCTGAGTTTAAAACCTTTGTTGTATCTATACTTTGAAGTTCGTTACATACTATAAGTTTCATATTCTCTATTGAAGAGTTAAATTTACCGCAGATGTTTTCTAAGTTTGTCATATTAGGGTTCGAATAGCCCTCTAACAGTTTGCATAAGATATCTGTAAAGAAAGTGTTCTTACCAGTTCCTTGTTTTCCAATTATAATGAGAGCAGTTTCATTTTTAGCACTTGGATGTTGTAAGATGTTTGCAAACCAACATAAGATATACTCATAGACTCTTTCGTTTCCATTGCATATAATTTCTTTGACATGGTCTAACCAAGCTTCTATAACATTTTCTTTCCATTCTACTTGTTCATATTTATATCCAGTGAAGATAGAATAGAAGTTTGGAGAAGGTGTATAGAACTTTATACCACGAACTGAAAAATCTTCTAACTTTGACAATAAGATATCCCAAGCATCTAACATCTTCATACCAACTTGTACAACTTTTATTTTCTTAAGTTTCTGTCTACATTCTTGTTCTGAAACTATGGTTGCTCTTGGTTTGTTAAAGACAACATCCCATTCTTTCATGACATAACATTCTGGGGCAGAGTCGACATAAATGACTAAACGTTTCAAATTCTCGACTGCTTTGTTATAGTCTCTAAATGGACACATATTTCTGAAGCTTGGAAGTCATAAAAATCTGAAACATCTATTCTGTACATTTTTATAAAAATAAAAAAAATATTTTTTTTATTCTTGAGCTATTTGTTGCATTTGTTGTTCTTGAGCTATTTGTTGTTGAAGTTGTTCTTGTAGTACAATACTTTCACCAGTTGCATCTTCCAATTCGAAACTTTCTGCCGTCATTGACAAATACATAGGACATAAAAGTTTTACAGGAACAAAGTTTGCGTCAACTAAGGTTAAGTTTATGTTTGCTAAAGTGTTTGAGTTTACTAAAGCTGAAAACTCTGCATTCGAATGAACAATAGGCAAACCAGCAGAGAAAGTGTTGTTTATACGCATGAGTATCTTTTGGTCATAGTAGTTTCTGTCGACATTCGAATAGCACTTTGAACCTAAGTTTGAAACAATATATAAAATAGGTGTACTTAAAGTCAATGGAACAGACATTCCTTGTATGACACCTTTTCCTGTTATAGGAAACTGTTGGTAGTAAAAACCAGATATAAGTTTTGTATTATAGCTCATATCGTTTATAGTAAACTCAGTCGGACATCCAAACATAATGAAACCTGCTCTAGTTGCAGCACATGTTACATCCGTCCTTAAAGTATTAAATAAGTCAACAAAACCTGTTGGTGGTATATCTGAGTAAGTATCTTCAAAGAAGTATTTTTTACCATTCACAACAATAAAGTCTTCTGGTGTCAAAAGAGCAAAACAGGCTTTAGTCGTCATTGTGTTTAAGGTTAGTTTACAATATCGTCCTTGAGGACTTTGTAAGTTTGTTGTTATAGAATTATATGACTCAGGGTTTTTAGTCGTAATAGTATAAACCACTATGTCTTCTGCCATTTACTTAGCAAATAAATTTTAATGAAATGTTGTGGTCGTCAAATATTTTTATGACGTCTGGGAAACTATATTTTAAGTTCAACGTTTCACCTCCTTTCATAACGTATATCTTGTCAATGACATTGTATGAAACACCACAGCAAGCAATGTCGGGTTCTATTTCTTTGATGTTTATATCGTCTGCCTCTGTCAAAAGTTTCAATAGTTCTTTCAAAATTCATGAGGTGCGATGACATATGAGTTCACTTTTACAGGGTTGTGTCGAACCAAGTTTAACATTATACCCAAAGCTTGACAAATCTTCTCCTGAGTTTTAAGTTTGTCTTTAAGTTGTTGGTAGTCTTTCGAATATCTGCAACAGAACTTAAGTCTCTGCTAACTTCAGGGTATGTTGGTTCTTTTACAGGAACTATTGTTATACCATCTTCGTCTTCGTATGGTTTCCCCACTTCAACATCTCTTTCTTTGACATTGACAACAACACTTTGACTGTTTGTTTGAGTTGGTGAATTTAACTTCACATCTGCCACCGCCATTAAACCTTTTGAAACACTTACGCTTCTATTTTTCGGAAATGACATTTTACTTAGAATAAAAAGATGGACGTATTTGAGTATCTCTTCGAATTGAAGCAAAACAAAGTTTACACACACAAACAATACAAGTTCATTGATAGAATAGTTCTTTACACAAACAATGGAAAATGTTATAGAATAGCAGTCTTTGCTGAACCAAAATATTTTCATAAAGCAAAGAAAGTTGGTATAACCGAGATGGTGAAAGTTCTTGAAGCAGACAAAAATATAACAACAAAACTGACCGATATTTCTAAAGGTAAGTTTATAATACAATTTATGTCAAAACTGGCGTACTGTCAATATTTGACGGAGAGAAGTCAGTTCAAGAACAACTTACTGACCTGCTGCCAAAATCTGCTCGATGGAAGCTGTCGTTATACCAATCTGAGGAGCCCCAGCAGGTTTCATCGAACGAATCTTCAAAAGAGCATCTTCCGTGAAAAGTGCTATTGGTTTTGTAAACTTCTTTGCTTCAATTCATCTGGACCGTCTCTGTCACCAGTATATTGTATTTGTACAGTACCAACAGTTGAAATACCACCCATAAAGTCTTCTGAGTCAGCAAATGGAATGCCAAGCCAAAAGTTTGAACGGTCTCCATTTGTATATTGAGTTTTTTGACCTCCTGTATGAGTCCATACTTTCACATATGGCATAATAGAACTTTGCATTTCAGGGTTAATGGTTGTTGTGAAGTTGTTGTTAAAGTTCATAGCATCTAATGTCAAGTTGTATGACCTCATATCCTCAACTGTAGAATATTCTTCTCTTGGATAATATTTGCCATCTATGTTTATATGATATTTAATACCAGGGTTGTAGAAACAAGAATAGTCATTTATAGTTCGTCTGAACAGTACAAACATAGTATCTGCATGTTTCATTGCAGTTGTTAAGGCAATATCTGTTCTTGCACCTGGGTCAGCACTTTGGTTTCCAACTTCACCTGCAAAGTCTTTGACAGATATTTGGTGTATAGGGAACATAAGTGGAACTGCAATATATTTGGCAGCTAAAGCATTTGAAATATCTGGGTCCAACATATAGACTGCAAGTCTGCTTTCTATTCTCTTGCATTCAAATTTTTCGCATGTGAACTTAACTGGGTCCCAAGCAGTTCCAGCAGCATTGAAATAGTAGTTTACTTCAGTGTTGAAGTTTGAGAAACCAAAGTCTAAGTCAACTTTGTCTTTGCAAAAGTCACAAACTTGGCTCCACCAGTTCCAGCTACAGAATGTGAATGGGTCTTGTGTTGGTGCAATGACTAAGTTATTTTTGCTTGGAGTAAGTTCGATAGAAATTTTTCCTGCCCAGTTTGGCAAGTATCTTAAAAACCTGAAGATGAGGAAAGATGACAAAGGAACTCTAAGTTTCAGTTTTACTTTGGTTACTGCTTTCCATTGAACCAGAAAGGTTAACATAAACTCCTGGAACGTTAGGGTCAAGTCTTCTTATTTTCTCAATAGTTGCATACTGGTCTGTTTGTTCTCTAGCTTGTGGTTGTACTGAGTTTCTCAAAGCGAACCATTCATAGTTTGCCCATGTTACTGTTTGAACTAAGTCAGAGTTAGAATATATCTTATATCCCATGAAAACTTCTGGAGCATATTGGTATCCGACATAGAAAATTCCATTGCAACCTTTCTTGTCAGACAACTTGGCAGAAGGTTTTATTTCAATGTCTTGTTCCACGTATAAGAAAGAGTTGTCAATAGAAATTATATGAAACCTGTCGCAAGCAATATCTACTGTTGTTGAAGAACCTTCTCCAAACTCACCTACGTTTCCATAAGAAACAGCAGTTGTATATTCGTAAGTTCCAGGAACTATTTCTGACCTTCTAATGGCATTGTCGCATTCGTTATACCATTCGGAAACATTTCCATTCATAGCATCCAAAACTGTTGGCGTTATATTCTGAGCGGCGTACATTTCATATGAGTAAAAATATAGAATAGTTGGATTTATATGTCATAATAGAACCCACGTGGACCAAGCTTTACTTTCTTCCTGACTGAGTTTTTAACTCTTCTTTTTCCTTCATTGCCCTCTGCTTGAAGTTGTTGCATCTTTGCATTATGTTCATCTAGTATGTTGCAAATTTCCCATGTCCTTTTTGCCTTTTGGCTCTGGTCGCCCATCTCAGGTAACCTATATCCTAGAAAGAGTTTGTCATAGTCTGTATTTGAGTCTTCGCGTATTGTTTGCATGACTCTTTCCTGAGTTTCCGGTTCAAGCGCTTCAAACAGTGCCTGTCCATATGGAATAAGCTCGTTTCCAAATATATGTTTTTGTAGCCATTCTGGTTTTCTTTCCATGTTACCAACTATATCTTTTGTGAATGGGAAAGCTTTTACCCAATCTTTCAGTCTTGCGTCGTTTATTTCTGTAGTTGGTTTTATTTTGTCAAGGAACATGTTTTTCAATACTAACATTTCATTTGGTACTGTCCATTTGAGTTTTCTTAAATATTCATCCCTTCTCGTTCATTGTCTGCAAAGTAAGTTTTTATGACATTTTGTAAACTTTCGTTTGCAAGGTCATGTACAATAGGTTCTCTTCCTTCTCTCTCCCTAACTTTCTTTCTAAACTCTTCACCAAATATACCATCTTATGGTTCTGTGTAGTTCTTTGAGATAAATGTTCTAGAACGTCAGGTGTTATATTTCCATCAGCCATGTTCATTTCATACTGGTCCAAAATATCTGCATGTTTCATATCTTTCAATGGCATTAAAGCCGCGCTGAAAATACCAGCTATATCTGGTTCACCATTGACTTCCATTGCGTCTACAACTTCTTGGAATTGTGGTTGTAAGTTTATGAACCACCTATCCGGGTTAGCTTTATGACCCCATCTCATTGTAGTTCCATCGTCTGCAGAAACAAAAGTAGGTTTGTTTCCATCTTGGTTAGGTTCTGAATGAACTTTAAACAATGTTTCATTTCTATATGTTTTCTTGAAATTTAACCTTTTATTTTCACCGAGTTCATCCGAAGATTGAAA